TGAGCACTATCAATGTCAAGTCTCAAAATCCATCCCTTCCCCATGATGGCTCAGAGATGACAAATAGCTGTATAATTCAGGTACAATGTAAGCTTTACGAAGGCCTCCCACTGCAACAGTTTCACTGAAAATAGAACACTTAAGGCCAATTAAACTTTAGTTAAGATAAGGCCTCATATTACAATTTATCTATTTATTTTTTCTATTTGTTAAGAAAAGAAGTAATAGAAATCATGTGTAGGGGAGGGGAGGGATTACATAAAAGTACGTCTTTAAATCAGCAGAGTTCTAGAGGCAAAGAGAGAAAAGGACCACACAAACTCTAAATAGCATCTAATGAATAAATTCATGTCTAAAGCTTGCGCCCATGCATACACACACAAGTAAGTTTGCAGTTAATAACAAAATTTGTTCTACTCATTTAGAAATCCAACAAAAGATAGCAATATTTATATTTAGCTGTAATGTAAGCAACTGTTGTTGGCAGACGACTGAATTTGGTACTAAAACAGATGTCTAAGAAAAATTCATTTTTCTAGTTGTATTTGTTTGCAAAATGATGTTTCATTATAGACTGCCAAATAGTTATCCAAACTGTTACTTACCAAGTATGAACTATGTAAAAAGATTATCAAAATGAATACAAAGGTCAATGAAACTCAGTGTTAGCTCTAAAGATACTAAATATCTGGTGAGAAAGATGGTATGAACTAAGTTTACAGAAAGCACAGTGCTAATCATTAAGAATAGTGTCAGCAGGGCACAGTGGTTCACACCTGTAATCCCAACTCTTGGGGAGACCAAGGTGAGAGGACTGAGGTCAAAAGTTTGAGAGCAACCTAGACAACATAGCGAGACTTTCATCTCTATAAAAAATTGAAATTAGTTGAGCATGGTGGTTCTAGCCTACAGTCCTAGCTACTGGAGAGTCTAAGGTGTGAGGAGTGCTTGAGCTCAGGAGTTCAAGGTTACAGTGAACTATGATCAGGTCACTACACTCCAGTCTAGGCTACAGAGTCAGACCCTGTCTCCAAAAAAAAAAAAAAAAAAAAAAAGGAAGATTAATGATTTATATCCATCAACTCAAAGGTAAAAGTAAACAGAAAACAGTTAAATATTTGCTATAATTAATTTTACTATTAAAAAACTATATACAATTAACTAGCTGTATAGGTCTTCTAATAATCAAGTAAAAATTACATTGGATTCTTAATTCTACCACCAATCAGATTAACTTGTTTCTAGAAGGTTAAATGCAAAAAAAAAGAAAGAAAGAAAAAACAACAAATGCCTACCTCCACACACATGCTCAAACAAAATCAGTTTACTTCCTTTTTTTTTTTTGGAAAGAAATAGTTACAAAAACAGAAGAGCAAATTTGGTTTTTATACAATGAAACATGCTTTCTACAGATAAGCTTCAACAAAGGTATAACTCTAGGGCCTTGAGGTTAAATGATGGTGAGCCCTAGGTTTTCCTGTCTGTGAAATTCAGACCTTAAGTGGCACCAGTTGGAGACTCCTTTACCCTCGCCTATGTATCTTATCTCTGGGACGAATTTAGAAATGTTGGCACCCAAATTTGTAATATCTTTGCAGCCCACACAGTGTGAATCTAATTGTGCACAATCAACACTTTTGCAAAGGCAAACTAGCATAAAGACATTTTCAGAAGGACTACTGTATAAGCAAACATTCTGTGTGGTCAACTGACTTTGTCTATCAAAGTGCAAACTGTCTCAGTGTGTGCATTATAGAAGTACTGTCCAATGTCCAATGGTTCTAATTCAGTAATTGGTTACTCAATTTCTTTATGCTGAATATGACATAAGGTGCTCAAGACTAACAGGAGATAGTAAAGAAGTATATGGTCTCTAAGAGTTAATAATGTAGTTACTTAAAACACACTTTCCAAATTTTAAGGACTAAAATTTTAAATTTAGTCCGTATATTGTAAGATTAAAAAATAATAATAAAAATAAAACAACAAAAAATCTATCCCTTATTTGTGTATGTTAATTCTGATCCCAAAAGCAGTGTTTAACCTTTGAAATTTGCTTAATTAAAGAAATAGGCTCTTCTTTATCTTAGTGCCTGGTTCAAGTACCATTATTATTTTAAAGGGGGAAAACACCATTTTAGGATTTTAATTTTTGATATTTTGTCCAAATAAGGTTTCACTTAGAAGTGAATGTATAAATATAAGGTTTTGTATGCTTTAATAATTCATGAATATTCAAAGTCTAATGAATACCAGTTTGATTCCAGCTAAAATGGCAATTGACTGGAATCAGACTGGTATTCATCAGATTTTGAATATTCATGGATTATAAAAACAGAAAAAAGGAAGGTTAATTATCTAAAATTTATTCCAGCAAAAACTACCATTTTTAACTGGAGTCAGACTGGCATTCATTAGATTTTAAATATTCAATTATACTTAGAAAAGTAATGTATCCTAGTATGAATACAGGCCTCTAGAAATTAATGACTGGGGAAGAAAAGGCCATAGAATCATAGATTACAAGAATTTAACAAAAAATATAAAATATGTTTTTCTCTTTTGCTAAAGGTGTGTTTCTCAAATAGTTTTCTTTATATGTATTCCCCTGTCTCCTTCTTCACCAACACCATTTGATCTTGAACCTTTAATTCTTGCTCTTTTGTGCTGCATGCATCAGTGAAACCTCCTCCTCCTGTTAAAGAGAAATCCACACTAGCTTATTTTTACTCAATAGGCTTAGAATTAGAATTCTACAGAAAAGACCAAAGAATATTGAAATTTGAAATTAATCAAGGTTTTTGGCTAAACAACAATCATCTCCAGAGCAATTTCCATTCAAGAGAGACATTATGCACTCTGTTGCTTTTCCTTTCTCATCATATATATTCAGTGATAGCCATACACAAATAATGAAAATAAAGAGCAGAGTAAGTAATATGCTTATAACACAGGTAGCATTTTACATAGAATTATAAACTGCCATATAATGAACATTTTCAACACCAATCAAGAAAAATCTTTAGATTACCTGAGATTGAATGTGACTATCAACTAATGAATCAAAAGTTCAAGGTAAAAAATAAATGCCATATATTGCCAATGATATTCTCTCATTTAAAAACATGGTCTTCTTTTTTTCAAATGATATTGAAACCCATCTCTTTTATTGACACAGTAAAAAGAACCCAAATCTTGGAAGTAGATGAAAAAATCAGTATTTTAATACCACAAACTCATTCATTCCTAATGAGATTCTAGTCTTTACCACACTTCAGAGCAGAAGACCTATAAAGAGCTGGGATACAAAGTACATCTTAATTTCAACTGTTTAGCTATTTATCTTCTAACCATGTGCTTGCTTATTAACTGTTTCCCAGTAAAACTCTTTCAAACAGATCTTTTAATAAAGGCTCTGAAAAAATTTCATTGCTAGTATTATAATTATTACATAGGGGAAATAACCCAGTGACAACAAGTATTCAATTTTACAAAATGAATTAGTAGGGTCTGAGAAAGAATCTAAGACTGATTCAAGACAATCCCTTTAATCACAAATAACCAGGGCAAACACAGTCTTTTCCAGGTGTCATCCTAATACCCACTTTTTTTTAACCCCAAAAATCATTTTCACAAGGCCACATCAGCTATGTGAATTAACAGATTCTCCAGTGCTGTAGCAAAGATAAAACCTGATCCTTAACAGTGGTTAAGTTTAGCAGCTACTGCTGCTTTTTCCTTCTTCTAAGCAAAAAAAGGTTGCTTTTTTTTTTTTTTTTTCCTGTTTTTGATACTTAGCTGATCTGCTTAGGGGTAATAAAAAAAGCAGCTGTTTTCCTAAGATCTATCTGTCTATATATTTCTATGGTATGTGAGAGTGCGGGAGGGAAGAGTATATACACTAGGTTATACACTAAGTCACTTAGGCTTATCGGTAGTAGCACTCAGTAGGACTGAACTTTAAGCTGGGAAGAGAATTCATTTGAGCCATTTCTTTTCAAAAAGAAATTTGGAATGCATTACAAAAATAACATTTAAAATCTTGAGAACTCAGGAAAGCATAGAAACAGGAGAAAACAAGGCAATTACTCCATTTTATTGACCCTAGTTATTTAAAAAAATCTAGATTAAAGTATTGAGACAGACTCCGAAATATACAACTGTCACAATGAAGGCATTTCAGAGCAAAATTTGCTGCAATATGCTACTATGATTAAAAGCCATGTAATCTGGGAACCTCTGTAACAAAATGAAAATGAACTAGGAAAATAGCTTCTTACTACTTCTCTAAAAATAAGAGGCTGTAATTTTGTCATAATTACACAAAGGTAGGTGAGACTTGCATCTTTACCTGGCATGACAACACATTTCCATCCATAGGTATTACAGTTACATTGCTTTGAATACACATATGGTCTAATACCGAGAATAAACTATTATTTTATGACACTACATGTTTTAAATCTGAACCCACTATCATAACACATATTAAGGGTAATCTTTAAGTGCATACTCTCTAACCAGAGAAAAGATTCCCATACAGCTTTCTATGCACTCTTGTTTTTCAAATGTACACATATTATCAGACACAAATGAGAGAATAAGGAGCAGCAGTGAAGTACACCATATGTTCCCATTGTACGCTGAATCCAGGTCTTTGTTCCAATATTACAGAGCCACTGGAAAGAAAGCTAACTATCCATTCATTAAAATTCATTTTTACATTATTGCTGGCAAAAGTTACACTTTTGATAGATTAAGTCAGAGCCCATCCTATCCTGACTATTCCTGCCTGCATTTGCTTCTTTAAAACGGATCTCTTGCAATTCTAGGAACCTGCAAAATAACTACTCTGGATAACAGGTCGGTAGCAGGACAATCTGATAAACCAATGTAAAGGGTAGACACTGAAGAAGAACGCAAAGTTCTTTTCCTAGTGAAATAGTTCGGAAGTCATTCTATATCAATAGCACAATTTTTCCTTTTTAGAGGCTACGCACCTATAACATCCACCAGATAACATCCACCTCATCCTCTATTAGCAGGGTTTTTCTCAATCTTGAGATCTCCCAGAACAGTTGTACTGGTGCGACTCAAACCAAAAACACTAACCACGCCCTTTATGCCCAGAATCAAGCTTCCTTTTGCTTTTTTGCTCTTAAAGTCCAAAAATGTAAATCTTTCACCCGAGAGGGTTTGCACCGGTTTCCTAACCCAAGGCGGACTCTTATAGCTGTGTCTTGTAATTCCCATTGGAAAACATTTCCTCCAGGGCAGTGCAGACGCCCCGAAGAAGGACCCCCCCCCGCCCCGCGCTTACCTCCCACACACCTGCAACCCCTGTCAGGATTCTGGAGCTGGTGCCAGGAGGGCTGCGCTCCGCTCCGCGCTCGTTCCTGCTTTCGTCTCTCCCGGGAAACTACAGCCCAGACTGCGCCTCCGGCTTCTACGGGGACCCAAGCTCCGCCTCCCTGTCCTCCAGTTGGCGAATTTGGCAGCTGTTGCTCCTCCCCCTGCTGTTTCTGCAGCTGCCCGGGCCAGAGGCAGCGGAAAGCAGCTGCCTTGGTACCTTCCCGCTCCCCGCACTTCTGCAGCTGCTCTGCTACTTCCTCTCCCCTGGGGGGGGTCCCTCTCCCCTCCTCTGTGGCCTCACACCTGGAGCTGCCTCTGGCCCCACCCAGGCGTCTCTGCCGGGAGCCCCGGCTCAGCCGATCCCTCCCCGACCCGTGGGTCAGGTTCCCCGGCGTGCGTGGGGCTTAGCTGCTCTTGGGGAAGCTGCCCCTCCGTCCAGTGCAAGTCCCTACACCAAGCCCTTCCTTCACCCGGGAGATTTCCCGGAGGCTTCCTCTCTACCCGCAAGGCATACTCAGCCCGATAGCCCCACGTTCCCCACCACGGGCCCCTCACCCACTTCCTTCCTCGGTTCGGTCAGCCCGCCCCCTCAATGGGTGAGGCGCCTGCCGGCCCGACCCCGCACCCTGATTGGCGCAGGTGAGGGTTTGCCCCGCCCTTCCTCTCCTATCCGTGCACCATCTCTTTTCTTCTCACCTCCTCCCGCAAAGGAAGGGAACTATCCTGCTATTGGCTAGGAGTGTCCCCACCCATCACCTCAGGCTCCCCCGCACGGCCTGCCGGTAAGTGTAGTCTTCCGAGTGCAGGAATTACGGACAACACCGGCAAGCAGGACTACGAGTCCCCATAGGCCTCTGCGCGACTCCGACTGGGCAGGATTCCGGACAACGCCTGGTTCCTCTCGGGTCCTTCCGGCGTCGCCGGAGTGAATTGATCCGGGAGTTGAAGAGGGCTGCAAAGGTGGGAAGTGAAGTCAGTGCCTCAGTTGCTGGTAAGATGTAGCTGTTCTGTCCCAGTCCCCGTAGCTCTCCACTGAGCAGAAGAGGTCTAGGGTCACGTAGGGGCCATAGCTGAGGCACTCGGGCTTGGTTCTGGCAGGCGGAGCGGACGGGGCTGGGAGCGGGGCCCTACGGGCGTAAGCGAGGTTACCCTACGCGAGTGGCGTAAAGCCGGTTTGTAAATGCCGCCTGCGGGCTTGGGCCCGAACGCCTCCAGGAAGTCTCCTTTGGGTGGGGGCGGGAGGGGAAAGGCGAGGTTGGCCCCTGGTGCCCCAGGAGCAGGGAGAGGGCGGATGTGCCTGGGGTGGGGTTCTTTAAAGGTGTGGCTTCGGACGGAGAGGTGAGGCTGTTGTTTTCCCCTTGCTTTGTAAGAGAAAGGGAGGAGGAAGGAAAGGGTGCTTGGGAGTCTGCTCTTGGGGTGACTAGGGTTATGCCCTTTGAGGGAAGAGGAGCACTGGAAGAAGGAAGAGACAAATGTTGTGGTCTACGGATTCAGTTCCAGTTTAATGATGTGGCTCCTCTAAGGAGGTAATTTTGCCTTAAACAGAAAGGCTTGACCCTCTTAGGTGTCATACCTAAGGTATGTTTACTCTTTTACTGCTTTCAGAGCGCTTTCATGTTGGGATGCTGATGAGGAAACCGAGGGATTATATGACGTGCCCAAGGTCACACACGGAGGGACAGACTTTCTCAATCTAGTCTGGTTCGAGTCCAGCTTCTAAACCAGAGCTGCTGCCCGACAGAGAAAGATTGGGGATGTTGGTTGTGTTTTTTGAAAAGGGTGGAGGAAGTTGCAAAGTAAATGTATTTCATATAGTACATCTAAGAAGCCATTGTGAGATGAAAAGTTGTTTCTTGAACTGAAGTGAAATTCCTCAATAAAGGAAAGAACCTTTTGGAAAAAATAAAAAGGGTCAATTTCAACTTTTACAGATTTTCCCCCTTTTATTGGGGGTGTATTAAAATATATTCTATTCTCACAGTTCATTTTTAAGGGTAGGTAAAGGGATGGGTGAACAACAGTTAAACAATGTATCCCTTCCTTAATAGAATATTCTTTTTCTACCTTAGGACTCTTTTTACTCTCATTTTGTAAAACTGATAATAGTGGGATTGGAATTCTTTCACAAGACTTCACACCTTTTCCAAATAATGTAGCCTTAGGAGAGTTTAATGTGCTTATTACTAGAAAAGAAGGTATTTTGCATTTCTTAGAGGTAAGATCCTATCGTTTGAGATTTTACTTTTCCCCCATTTTCTTGACTCTAGGCTCTTTGTGTATGTGTGTGTCTGCAAATAATAAAATCAGACTCTTGCATATTTTTTTCTTAGCATCATCTGTGACTTTTAAGTCATTCTTGTTTTACATTAAAGAATTTTTAAAAGTACGCTTATATTTTATATCTTGGAGAAAGTAGTGCCCTGTGCCAGTCTTATCCGCTATAATTGTTATGACCAGTTATATCTCATGACTGTTATTACTGGGTAAGTTTTTAAGGGAATTGTAATAGAATTCATTGATGGTAGAATTTCTTTGTTTTAACTTTAGATCCATAAAGGTTAGCATGTAGAAAATCATGGCTTATTCTTAGCATGTAGTAAGTCATAGGTTACTGTTTTATAGACAAGTTGATCATTCGACTATGCTGAATTTTGAATGTACTCTGCAATTATTTTAGTATCAACAATGTGCTTCACTTTTTAATGCAAAAATATTTTTTCGGAACAGAGATATGTTCCTGGATGATTGAAATTAAGATGGTCTGGAAATTAATGCGATTTTAAAATAGAAAAATTATGGTGCTATAGAATGAAGTAAAATCAGGAATAATGTGCCATGAGTAATAATAGTACACAGACAAGAAAGAATCAGTTAAACAAATGAAACATTGTGTGAAGATAATTGACTTCTTTATTAAGAAGGATTAATAATCCTTAATCTTGCTGGATTAAGAAGGCTGCGGTAGTGTAAGTAGACCATAAACTGAACATGTATCATTGATGGTAAAGCAAGAATATTAATGTATTTTCTAGATGACAGTGTAGGTATTTGCCTTTTGTTGAAGGAGGTATAAAATGAGTTCTAACCTTTGGCATGTAGCTATGTCATTATGGAAAGAGCTTTTGAACTGTGAGGAAAATTTGGAAATAAGTTAATATAATGCATTTGTTCAGTGTATTTTAGATTTCGTTTTCTTGTTTCAGTTCTAACACTAATTTCTCTTTATCTCTGAGGCCAGTTATAGTTTCGGCATTTCTTCTCCTGGGCTGGTGGATTAATGTTTGTATTGTATTTATCATCTTTCAGTCAGTCACATGCTGGAGTATCATGGTCACTTTAGATCTCTGCACCTTGGTTGGATAGTTAAAGAGTTCACAGAGTTATATATACACATGTATTCTAAGCGTAGTTTGCAGCTCACCAGTGTCTGCATTTCTTCTCATTTTGGGCTTTGCAGAAGCCTTATATCAGCTTCGGGACATTATTTCTCATAGGACTTAAGATGTCTTCCATGTATTATACATCTGTCTTTTTCTTTAAGGATGTAAGGTCTGTAAGAACAGGTGCTGTGTATTATTTATCACTGTAGTCACAATAGGTAAGATAATATTTACAAAGAGAATGAAGAGGCTCAAGTAGGTTAAGTAACTTGCCCAAGGTCATGCAACTACTTAACTGGTGGGAGCAAGACAAAATTGAGATCTTCTGACTACAGATCTTTAATATTGTGGAGTAGAGACTTAGTTCCCTTATTTACATGAGAAAAAGACTTAATGTGACTTAAATATTCAAATACTATTACCCACTTACTCTGTTTAACACTAAAAATTTATCTCTTCTCCTATCCAGCTCTCCATCCTTACCTCCAGCCTTTTTCATTTATGATGCCTTTCGCTTACTGCATAAGCTGCTTCCTGACATGGTGGTCTTTACATATTCCATCTCACTCCTTGGACAGTTCAACTCTTACCTTCCTAAATGTGGCCACCTGGTAGTCAGTTTTCATGTCTCAATTTAAATATCATTCCTCAGGGGAGCCTTGCCTTCCTACCCAAAACCAGCACAGGTTGCCCCTGTGTATTCACCATACTCTACACCTTTGTGGCATCATCATAATAGAAACTTAATTATTTCTGTTTTTATTTGAACAAATATTTGTGTGCTCATTGAACTATAAGCTACCTGAGCAGTGCCCTCTCATTTGTCATGTTTTACCCCAACACATATGTAGTACCTGGCACAATGTAAGGGTTCAGTAAATATTTGCTGAATGAATGAAGGAGTATATTCATGCACAATGCTTCCAGCACTTTTCTGGGGACAGAAATATAGAAATGAATAAAGTAGATAGGCTTTATGGATTGAAATATATAAGAACTTTAAAATGAGCTATGTAACACTTAGGCAACTTAGGTTATATGCAAAGGAGTCATTGACAGAATTTTAATATAAACTTTAGAAAAATGTGTATTTTTGGAGGTCTCTGAAATCAGGAATAATTTTCTAAATGAAAATGATAAAGGAATCACGTTCATTTACAGCAAAATTACTGTGTAACACAGCATTTTAGAGACTTACCACTGTCCTGCTTTTTTGCAGGTAATATTCATTGTATAAAATATAGGCATGGACTACAGACTTTAGACTGTAGACTAAAATATAGACTTCTATTGACTCTTCTTTCCTAGTGTTATCTCATTTTGTCCTCAAAACTTTTATCTCCTCTAAGTAGTAATATTAACACTGTTTCGTAGCTGAAGACATCAAGAAAATAAGTAAATTTACTTATTAAACGCAAAAAAGTTTAAATTGCTAGGGTTTCCAGAAAGTAGGTACTAGAACCACGGTTAGACTCTGGATCTGTCTCCGCATTCTAAAATCCATGCTTTTTCCTTTTTCTTTGCTTTTGTTTGTTTGTTTGTTTCTTTTAAACCATGCTGTCTTCCTGTGACTTAGACCTTTAATGTCA